TCCTGCAATGATTGCGTTACTGGGGTTTTCAGAAACCTTTTTTGACTAGCAAACATTATACTTTCATTCTTTTAATAGGATCCAAGAGCTTCAATGAAAACCATACCACAACCACCATATCAGAGGCCTCTTAAATCAGTCAGGCCCCCGATAATTCCTACTGAAGATGAGTATGATAAACCAGAAGAGGGTTTGTTTGGTTCCATAGGGAGGCTTTTCCTCAATACAGGCACATCTGTGGTTGAAATCTTTGGAGGACTATTTTCGGGTTTTAGGAAAAAGCCACCCCACCATCATATCCAACACCATTATCATCAACCAAAACATCCAAATGCTTGGCCTGTGCAAGAGAGCTTTGTGATTCCAGACGAAGACGAGCCACCATCAATAGAACCGAGGGACCCTACTCCAAGAAAAGCCTACCCATTTATGACTAATGAAGTAGAAAAGACCCGCCATTTCAAGCAAAGCCGGGCCTATTATGGTGGATGGAATGGTGATTTTCACCACCAGCAACAGCAACAGCAACAGCAACAGCAGCAGGTGCAGCAACTGCAACAGCATCAACAGCACCATCAAAAGCACTACTCATCCTCCCCTCAGACTTACTATGAGCAGAACTGTGAGACAAATGAGATTGTGTTTGGGGCAGTTCAGGAACAGGATGGACGGTGCGAAGCTATGGTAATCAAGGCTGTTGACTATGGAGATCCTATTTATAACAATCAAAATGTTCGATCTAGATATAACTATGTGGGTTACTCATATGGGTATTGATCATTTGTACCTTCATATTATTAGATCACTAGGGAGTGTATAAGCTTTGAAGATAGGAATGTGGGATATGAATGTAATAGCTATGCAATGTTACTTTTCATCTTTTTTCTTTTCTTTCTTTCTTTCAAGAAGAATGATGAGTTTCCAAAGTTGTTCTCAGTGTTTTGTATGCAAAAGGCTCTAGATCTGCTTCAAGTGTTCTGTTTTTGTCATAAAAATGAAACACATCCTACAATTAATGGTGACAATTTTCTAGCCGACATAAAATTAGAGGATTGAGAGTGATCGTTCTTGAATATTTGATTTTATGGGTTATACCGATAAATTCGGAAAGATCTGAAGTGAGATTTAGGAAATATAAGTGCAGATATTATGATTAAATTACCAAAAAAAGGCCTAGCAATCTAGAATTTCTAGTAGAAGCCAACAGTGTTTCTGCAGGGCACAGAACCCGCTGATTCATTTCCTTGTAGTTGTAATCTGATCCCTTCCATCTTATCAACGTAGAAGCTCAGCTATCTTATCTGCTTATCCATTTCCTTGGGGACTTAAAATGAAAATAAACAAATTGTTGCAAATAAGAGGACCACTGGGTCTTGGTATCAAAATGGTCCTGAAGTTTGCGATTGGCACAGTCACCTAGGAAAGTAGTGAGCTTTCACATTGGAACAGTATCAATCTATTAAATGTTTCAGTCAAGTAAGAATAAAGGGCAAAGGTTATTGTATCCAAACGTTAAAAACAACTCCAGAAGTTAATAAATTTTATCTAAAAAAGTGATAAACATTACCCAAAAAACAGTAATAAAGAGCATACTCGGTATACAAAATTATCGTCATTGCGGGATCTATGATGTCCGTTCGAGCCTGTGATCTCAAAGTTACAAGAAACAACTTTATTGAAACCTGCTCTCACCCAAAAAATAGTAAGTGAACTCAAAAATTTGAGTGCCCCCAAAAGCTAATAAACTTCACTCAAAAGAATAAAATATAGTATAGATACTAAAAAAAGGTGATAACGGATGCGATGCCGAATTTTTTTTTAGTATCGTAGTGAAATCCAGACCCAACTATCCAAGCCTGAAACGAACCCGACCCACCAGGCACCACAATCATGGAAATTTGGGCCGACCTAACTCTAGACTGGTGGTTTTGGTCTGCAGAGCATTAGTAGGCAATTTCAGGCCCTTGTTAAAGTAACATGGGCTATAACGGAAAGGGCTTTTCCAAGATGTAATTACTTGGTAGGCCTCAGGTGGAGACAATTACATTCAAGAAGCCCAAGAAAATTTGACGGTTCGTTTGAGACTATAGGCTGGGCTGGCCTTCAGCTCCTAGCGATGAACCTTATCATATCATTTCTATTTTGTTATATAGTTTATTAACATTTAGCTAACATATATTTATAGTCGTGTACAATGTGGATTCCTATTGTGTCAACATTACATCGTTATGGTGCTCCAAAAATCTGTTGTTATCAATAAAAGAGATTTAATAGACAAACAGTTTTCAGGTGACTGTTAATAATGAGTTCAATTGCCTTATTTCAGGATTTTCTTTGATTAAATTTAAAGCAGTAAAAGCACATAATCGTGAACTAATAAAGAAAATCTTTTTATTAATTCAATCTAAGGGTTTTTAGATACAGAAAGATTGGATTAAAAACCTTGATTACAATAATAACTATTTTCTATACTAACTTAACACTAGTCTTAAAAATGTCAAGATTGTGAATTTTGTGGGAGTTTGAATGTATGGTCTTTCTCTACCTTTTATAACCACTATCTTCGATGGTTTTATCTCCATCGACGGTTATCTAACTTGTAACTCTCAAATAGTTATTTTTCTTTCAAATAAAACTGTGTCTAGTCATCTTTCGCATTTTCTCAGATTCTGCCATGGGACCCATTCTTTAATATCTCCCAATTTGTCAAGCGTTGGTGCATCAAACATTCTTATAATTTTATATTTTAGGTCTAAATAGGTTATAATCCGAATCTATAAAGACAGAAACTTATATTTCTAGGAATTTCATTGCCAGCAAGATATTACCAAGCATTAGAGACTGAAAAGGATCAAACACCACAAGCACACACACACAAAAAGATTAATCAAGAACTGTGCAGAACTTTCAAATACAAGTATGTTTTACATGTGAACGAGTCCGAAATGAAAAACAAATGAATAAATAATTTCGAAATTTTTCCTACGTGTGCTTGAACTGGTTTAGCATTCCATCGTAAGGCTTTTGATACAATACTGAAAAGTTCTATGGTGGTCGAAGCAGTTGCATCAATTATGCGCACCATCAACAACCGAATGTCCTTGCCCTGGACTCGGACCGGAGTTCTTGACACCTCGGAGAGCTAGAACTTCGTGGTATGGATGATGGCCGCCTTTCTCTTTACGGCTGGAATGTGACTTCACCTGAACATGGTGGCGATGCTCTGGACAGTTGATGGGACGAGCTCGAACGGAAGTGAAAAGCAAGGTGAAGCTCAAAAGAGAACAAAGAAGATAAGCAGATGGTTGGGTTGCCTGGCCATGAATGCAGAATTAGAAGGTGGGCGTGTAGCCTTGAGAAGTTTTTTTTTTTGGTGTTGGAGAGGGGAAAGTATTGAGTTGTGAAAATGTGTTGTAATGTTGGTACATTTATATTGAAAAATGGTGAACCTAGTTGACTAGAAAATGGAATAAAAAGTGTTAGGTTCAAAGACGTATAGGGTTTGAACTAGGTTTAGGAAGCATGGGAGGAAAATTCATTTTGAGAGAGAGAGAGAGGGAGGGGGGGGGGGTTAAGGAGACCGGCAACTCAAAGTAGTATCAGGGGTGAATTGTAAATCCAGTCGACATGAGTTTAAATTTTGATAATTCTTTGGGACTAAACTGTAATAAAATTATTCCTCATAAATACACCCTAGTCTCAATATGGATCGATAACCTGTCTTTAATCAAATCAAAAAAAAATTAGTCGAAGTGTGTGTAAACTGGTCCAAACAACCCAAGTCATTGAAAAAAAAAGGGAAAGGGGGAGGGGAGTTGAAAAAAAATGGTGCGGAGACTTGAGGGACAAGTTTGAAGAAAATATTTTGAAGATGGAAGAATAATTCAACTGAACACCGGTCCAAATTGTTTACTTGACCATATTAAACTTCATAAAAGTCGTTGCTGAGGTTTATATATTTATTTATTTTTGACCAACGGGAATATCTAATTGTTTATCTTTCTTAAGTGAAATTTATTATATTCAACAGAGTTTCTCACCAATACACGATGCAATTAAATTAGAATTGAAAAAATCTGAATACCATGAATTGTTTTAAGGTGATGAGCTTTGGGGGTGACTTATGTAATTCAAAAAGTATAATTTCTTAAATTAATACTTTGTAAATTTATTTTTTAATAAAAACATTTTTGTTGAGTAAATACTAATAAATTGTTGAAACATTTATAATTTATGATAGGTAGTGGATCCTAATAAATGTTGGGATCCACAATAAAATAAATGATTATAATTATCAAGTTTATTTTTTAAATTCATGCAACATTACTCTTATATAAAAAAAAAACATTTACCGCACATTAATTATGTCATAAATACTAATATATCCTCAAGTGCCAAATATACACACACAGCAGTAGTGGTAGTGATGGTGGGATGAAGTGATGATGATGACAATAATGGTAAAGAGAGTGTAATTACGGAGACAATAGTTGTGGTGGGGATATTGTATTGAAGACAAGTATGATGGTGATGGTGGTGGCGAGGGTAGTGGTGCCAGTGATAGTGGTAAGGGGGAGGGGTGGTGAAAATGAAAATAAAAGTGTTTTTAAAGAGGAGAATTTTTTTATTTTTGTTTCAAGTAATTAACTTGTTCAAGTGTAACCATTCAAAAGTATTCTTTAAAATTAAATTAGTCATTTTTCTTGTCTAACAAGTCATTCATGATGAAGAACAAGTCAAAGAAGCCCAATTCTCTCTAAGTCAAACATTTATTTGTTTCTAAGCTTAGCTCCGAGAGGGTCCAACACACATGACGAAGAACTGATACAAAACCCATTTTCGATGCAAATTAGTTGACTACCAAAACGTGCATCAAAAGTAAGTGAAAACCTACGACTTTTCAGAACCAGCAAAGCTAACATGAGAGAGAGAGAGAGAGAGACTTTATCTCTTTTTTTTTTATTTTAAAAAGGTGTAACACGAGGACTTCTCAGGGAGTTATACGTCCTAATATTACTCTCGCCCAAGCATGTTTAACTGCAAAATTCTGATGAAATTCAGTGCATTAGTGCTAATATGATCGCACCCAAGAGAGACTTTATCATAACCAACAAGCTAACACGAGAGAGAGAGAGAGAGAATTATATAAATGAATACGTTTGTTATCCGTGGAAAGACCACATTCGGGCTGAAGTGCTATAGCAGGTGAGCAGTTCGATATTTTAATTTTCATGGAAAAGAAATACGTTTTTATATGTTAATTATGCACGATTCATATATACACGATACAAATCCGACAAGACACGAATTATAAACTGAATATATAAGTAAAATATTTTTTTACGTGAACCCAAACCTGCCAAAAACCCACCTCGCCCGACAGTTAATATTTGTATAAAACCCAATTACAATTGAGTGGAGGTGGTCCAACTTAGAATGTTTTCTCGGCCCGTGTTGACAGTTTGCTACATTTCTCTTGTTTGGGCCAAGGAACGGTCTTATCATTTGACTCATTGTAATTATTCTGGTGCCAAGTTTTTAAATAACACAACTCGACATGAAAATTAGATTTTACCACAATAAACTCATTTAACCAATATTATATAAAAAAAACTGATATTTTTTATTTTTATTTTATGATCAAGGATTGTACCCACTTTTTCGAATCACTTCTCATTTTTTGGGTGAAGTTTATTATTTTTTGGGTAGAATTTATTATTATTTTTTTTTTTCACTTTTTGATACGATACCGAAAAATAAAATTTCGGTACCATAATGTTTCCCCAAGATGCAACAAGAAGTTTGACATGCGTTACCAGGAATATTTGGCACCACCTAGGCATTATAACTGAAATTGAGAAGATTCTAAAAAGGGTTAATTACATTATAAGTTCTCAAAATATAAATTTGTCTCGTTAAAATTGGTCTCTAATATTTTAATTGCACCATTTTGATCCTTGAAATATTGAATATGTTTCTATATTATCCCTCACACAAGCAACATTCAAATTACTAACGATTTTTTATCATAAACTTGTCACGTGATACCTAAATATAGACAAAAAATAATTTGAGTAACACTTAAGATCAAAATTTGGATAATTCTAGACAAAAAAATATGTAATATGGGCAACTCTTGACCAAAAATTAGATAGATTATGATCAAAACTATGTAATTTGAATAATTTTTTAACTAAAATTTAGACAAAAATTTGATCAAAAATTATCCCAATTTTTGTTTTTGGCCTATATTTAGGTAATATGTAACAAGTTTATAATAAAAAATTGTTAGTAATCTGAACGATGTCTGCTTAAAGAACCACATAAAAATATATCCAATACTTTAGGGACCAAAATGATGAAATTAAAATATTGAGGACCAAAATAAAACAAACCCAATACTTTAGGGATGTCTAATGCAATTAACCCTTCAAAAAACCTAAAAACCAAAAATAGTACTCTTTAGAGGTACCCAAAAAGAAACTTTTAAGTGACGAATATAATTATTCTTTGCAAGTTGTGGTATGGTAAAAGGTTGCACAAGTGTAGAGGAGGAAAATTAATAGTTCATGGAGGATAGAGTACAGAATTAGAAATACTTAGAATTCATGTCATGCTAAGCAGATTAGTTTGAATTTGAAAACTTCTTTTTGAATCTCAACTCCTATCAGAAATAATCAGACACTATGATAATTAATTTTGCTAGGGCCACATGGTTTGAAGTTTGAACACACCATGACCCACCCATACCCATCTCTTACTTAATTAACAGCCAAGTTTTGAGCTGAGGTCTCATCACCAAAAAGAAGAAAAAAAATCTCTCTGCAATGCTTTCGTGGATCCCACCACCACTGTCTTGTCCCAACCAAAAAAGATGAGTCCACACAAAAGATTCTGTTCACATTAGCCCAACAAAAGAATAGGCAAAAAGAGAGAAAAGAGAAAGTGGCAAGAGGGAAAAGAAAATAACCAAAGGTGCAAGATTAGTGAAAGTTGAAGAGCAAATGCAGTTGGCTCTCTCTAAATTTATGTACATAGCATACTAGGAAGCACGGATATGGAGATACGATAAAGTTCGAAAATATAAGACATAAGTATAGCAAGGATACGACTAATAAACATAATATAGTATATTTTTTAGATAATAATAGAATTATAATATATTAAAAACAAAGTATATTTTATAACAATATTAATAATAAAACCTAACAAATATTAATTTTTTGATTAAAATTAATATAGATCAAAATAAAAATCCACTATTTTCATCAAATATCATTAACATTCATAGTATATAAGTTACACAGCAAAAAAACACAAATAAAAAATAAAGAAATCATACCTCTATCAATAATTAACAATCATTTTTTACAAAAAAAAATCTTGGCCATGGCCCATGTTCGACTGAATTTACTATTCATAAAACTTCTAGCCGTGTCCGACATGTATCTTGCCACAACATCCCTAGGAAAGTATCCGTGCTTCCTAGATAGCATATACACCCAAAACAATAGCATTCATGCAAGAAAGTCTCAAGCTTATAAAAGATCAAGATGGAAAAATGGTGGAGAGAACTATTTGGACTAAGGTAACTTTAATCAGAGGGCAAAGGGATATGACCTAGTTGAGGAGGATCAGGATTTGTCATTACTAACAGATTCAGGGTTTAGAAGACTCCCGGTCGGGTTTTAGCCGATAAGATGATGTTATGCTAGACGAAAAGATGTTCAAGCCAGAGTGCCTTATACTCCTTCCAGACATTTAAGGCATGTTAGACCTAATGCTTTCTAACCGAGAGTTTGGGCTACATGAAGTACGTGGCTTGTGCCTCTTTGACCCCCATGTCTTGCGGGTAGTGTGACCCCTCAGCAAACACAGCACTATTTGTCCCCCAAGACATTACTCAGGTAATTTTGCGGCTTTGAAGGATGGCATGTACCAATACAATCAAGTCAATAAGCTCTTCCATAGTACACGAGACATTGTCTACAAACAGTTAGTATAGTGGGGGCTTCTTGGGTTTTGTGTGTGTGTGTGTGTGTGTGTTTTTTTTTTTTTTTGGGGGGGGGGGGGGGGGTGTGTACTAAACCGGGATTGGACCAAAAAGAAAATGCACATTTATAGTGCCATGATATAAAATCACAATTCATGCATCAGGATGTCAAAAATCTTCTAAACAAGGGGCAAACACATGCTAGCAAGCTTGGTTAATTAACTAATAATCAACAAGGGAAAATAGTAAAAACCTTTCATGTACCTTGTGTTCTAACTATCCATGGAAGCTCCGTATTAAGAGATGGAGGATTATTCATTTGGGTGTCTGTAGAACTTGCAAATTTGCCCTTCTTAGACCAAAGCCAGATCTTAGAAACAGAATAGCTGTCGGTTTTTGCCCCAACACTAATCTTCTTTCCCTCTATATCGTCATCAGCAGAAGGATTGCCATTGTGATCAGTCGCCCTCACAAGCTTTAGATCACGACCATCTCTGTCATGGCTCAAGGCCACCCTGAGGTTTGTGTCACCTACCACATACTCATATGAACCCATTGAATAACACCTTCTTGCGTCTAAATTACTGCTACTAGTCTCTCCTCCTACCTCCCCTGCCCCATCATCCAATTTTCTGAACTTACCAAGCCTCACAGGAAAAACCCCCTTTTCAGCAACAATTTCCTCAATTTCAACTGTCTTCTGACTGCAAAACACCCTATTTCTCCCATTACTAGGAAATCCATCTTCTTCCCCTGGATCGTCAAAATCGAAAATTGGGTTATCAATGGAGAACTCGGGATTGAAAAGGGCCCCCCTACAAAGAGGACATGTTGAGTTTGATAGGAGCCAAGTATCTATACAATTGACATGGAAAGCATGGCTACACATTGGAAGCAATCTCAATTTATCTTTCCCAGAAAATTCACATAAACAAACAGCACAATCAAATGGCTCTTTTGGACCCACAATCTCTTTGTACAAGAAGACAGGTAATGCATCAATAAAAGCTTGATCCAGACCAGAGTCATGTAAATGGAAGAGTTGTTGTAGTTGCCTTTGGAGAGTATCAGAACTAGAAACTTCTGGATACCTATCCGATTGAGAGGATGTTGAAGACGGGTGTTTTGTGAGAAATCTAACAAGCAAGTGGAGAAGACCAGAAATGAAAAACAGAACAGCTAAAATTACTATGATGAAAAGAACAGCGGGACTAATTCTAGTTCCAGATGATGAGGAAGAATGGCTTGAATCTTTATGAAAATTACTAACACCATATGGAGATGAAGTTGAAGGAGAAAGAGGAGGTGGGTATGTCAAAACACCATCTTTCTGTTTGATTTGATGTTGAATCCAAGAATTTTTCAAATGGGTATGCTCAGATAACCATCTTTGCTCTCTAACTTCTGACATTGAACAGATCATTTGGGTACACTCAGAAACCATCCTCCTTCCTCATAGATCAGACCCAACTCATATTTTGATGAACAAATTAAAAATACAAGCACTTTCCTCCTGCACTCCAATGCTTTAGGTACAGGAATAAACCCCACAAGCTCAGAACTTTTTTCCTTAGAATTGAAAAGAAAAAGGGGCATCAGAAGGGTTATTGTGTAGTAGGTTTTGGTGTGCATTCAAGTCTCATATTTTATTGCTTCCAAAAAGAAACCTGAGTAACTGATAGAGCAATAATAAGAGAAAGATGGCACAAAATATTAAGGTTGAGTTGTCTACCAACCTTGATTCTCAAGAAGCCACCATTAATGTATCTCTAAATACTCTTCTCATGGACCCCTCCCTTCTTGCAGCACCCAAAACCCTAAAGCCAGGCTCTTTGAGGAGATTAAGATCCCAGAAATAAGAGAAGAAAAAGCAATAGTAAACAACTGATACCTCTGTCTTACTTTTTTTTTGATCAAATACCTGTGTCTTACTTAATACCTTCACAAATATATGTCAAACTAAATATATATATTGTCTGTATGTAAAGAGAGGAGGGTCTCTCTCTCTCTCTCTCTCTCTCTCTCTCTCTCTAAGCGGGTAGTAGTAGTAGTAGATGTGTAGAACCATAGAAGCCAAAGGCCGACACTGACAATAGTGACTACTTTCCCGAGCCAGGCAAAGGATGCCAAAAAGAAACACCTTTGTAACAACTTCAACGCGCCAAAGTAGCGCGTGAGAAATATAGTCAATCACAAGCGACAAAGTGCCTTATCATATGCCCTTGCTTCTGTGGGCCTGGGCTTGATTGGAAGGCCATTTCCACTTACTCCGCTCTTCTGGGTCAGCTACACCAAATTAGATTTATTTGATAAAAAATATACAATAAAAAATATAAAATTATTAAATACTTAATTTTGATACTTATTTGTATTCAAATACATAATTTAAATTTATTTATTTTTATTGTGACATCTTTGCCCTTCATTAATTCATGTGTATTCAATATACCACTTTTCTTTGGAAAATAGTGCATTAAATATCTCCTAATTTTATGAGAGAACTTTAATATATATATATATATATATATATATATATATACATTTTAAATTATCTTTTAATACACCTTAATTTATGCATTTTTTTTTTAGAAAATAGTTTTATTTTCAAATTAATTTAATATCCGAATAGTGTAATAATGTAACAATAACAATGTAACAATATAAAGTGTAACAATAACAATATAACAATATAAAGTGTAACAATAATAATGTAACAATATAACAATAATAGTGTAACAATCTATTTACACAAAATATTGTACTATTATATTTTATCAAACATATAATTTCATTCAAAATTGTACATTTTTGTTTTGAATTTGTTACTATATACACAAAACTACTGAACACTGTTTTTGTTACAGTGTATTTGTTACACTGTTATTATTATACTAAAGATTATTTTAAAAATTATACATTCAAATGGTAAGTTTGATTTTAAACTTCAGAGTATATCGGACTCACAAAATAAACGGTAATATGAAATTATAATTTTTTATTAAGATAAATTCATATTTTTTAAAGGTTATATTAACATATATCAACGAAAAAGGATTACGTGTTACACGTGCACAAACGCCATGAGATGTGAGAGTAATATTCTAAACGTGAAAGAGTTCAAATGATTAAGTGACAAACATGAGAAGATCTAGGTATAATTTATCAATTTAGTTTTAGATGCACATTGATACAAATTTCTATCTTTGGATGTGTAAATTAAGATTTTTTATCTTTGGAGATGCACATTGATACAAATTTCTATCTTTGAGCGTGAAAATTGAGATTTTTTATTTTTTGGGTGCACCTTGATACAAATTTCTATTTTGAGAGTATAAAGTGAGATTTTTGGTTTTTAGGGATATAAATTAAGATTATAAGTATTTCAACAGTGGTAAAAACACTCACAAATATAATAAAAACAACCACAAATATGATAAATAGAGGTATGATATCGATTTTTTATTTTCGATACTATAATCAAATCTTAAGTTTACATACACCAACATATTTTAATCATCTTTATATGATATAATATTTCTATTTCGTGTTCTTGCTAATGTTTCTACTGCATAATGATTGAGGATATTACATCCAATTTCTTCAATGCTTAGATCTAAGATAGATATTACTTGTGGTTGTGGGTTATATGAATCAATGTGCCTTTTTGAAGGATGACCATGGGAAAAGCTTCCTTGTAGTATTAAGGGTAAAGGAAGGTGAGGACAATCACATTCATAAGCAGTAAAATAAGAAAGATAATCAATAAGAGACATGCCATTAGGTAAATGAGGGATGATTTTATACTCCACCCTCCAAACCTAATGATGTGTTCCTCTTTTTTCTATTTATTATTTCAATTTATCATCACAATTGTCACCTGATGTTGATTTGCCATACATGCCACTTAACAAAGATATGAATTTATCTTTTAAGCATGCTCGATAGTCAACCATCACATGATACACAACTCCATGGATAGTGTACAGTAGATACCGTGACAGAGAACCTAACTTATAATTATTAGTTTTTGATCATGCCTTTGCAGTTTGGACACAGAAATACATATGGAAAATCATTTCAGCTGTTGTGTTAAGGTTCTTGTTAGGGCAGGTTTGGAAGAACTCACAGAGGGGATGGTAATGATTAGAGATACAATTTTCAATTTCAGTACTAATGTGGTGGTTGGTACCTACCAAAGGTAAAATAATCACAAACTCAATGTTACTCTAATTTCACTTAAGTTTTGGGCATTTTCTTCTAAGCAATTGGTTTGCAAATGTAATCATACTGTTATTATAAATAATTCTTTGACCCGTATCTCTTAGGCTTAATTGATACATGTGGCTTGTTTGTTTATCGCGTTTGGGCGAGTATATAAGGGGATTAAAGAAAAATAGTTCAATGAACTATCATAACCTATGTTTGGATGCATATCTCAAGCCCTGAATTTATAGGGGAAATGAATCATTGCCAGCTCCCAACCCACAATGTATTAAAAGTCAAGTATGGGGGTTTGATGAAACTCATGGAGAGTGGACTTCAAAAGTGAAAGATTATATTTGAAGACAAAAAGATTATTTTACCCAAAAATTTATTCTTCCATTCACCTAATAATGACATGTAGGTAAATTGAGTAATATAATTTGACATGAATCCATGAACCCCACATATATATGAGCGATGCTACCAAACATGAAATTGGATAGAATTTTTGATTGAAATCTCAAGTAGGAATCCCTCGGGTTGGGTTTGAAGGGGTTTCCTAAAACCAATCCAATCCCCCCCACGTGGATTATTCAACACATGCTTCTGTGGTTTGCGGGGTTATTACAGGTATCTGGAATTTATTTTCAGAGGAATGTGTTAGAGGTTCATCATGAACAAAAAAATAAAATACTAATTCTTACTGCTTTTGCTTACTAATTGACCTGACAAAACCACAAACTTTGGGTGATTAATCAAAACTATTAATTCAACTGTCCATAAAATGAAACTATTAAGAAAAAGTTGATATAAATTCAATTAGTTTAGCGCTGTTTGAACTAAACTTTAGGTAGGAAACTCAACTTTGAGGAGAAAAGTTTTAAAAAAGAAAACCACCTATTGTGCTCCTACTTGCTATGATTTTTCTTGACTATCTTACATTCTCTCTGACTGTAATGGTTGTCTTTGCACCACCAAATGTGCATGGAAATTATTTGTTGCAAGACTAGCTCCAAATGTGCACCAATGGAGCAAATCTTTGTATGACCATTGTGAAATATCTATCTAATCTTTCAGTTGACAAGCTCTATCCACTTGGGATTAGGAGTTGGACCAATACCATTTTGCATTGTAGGTATTGTTGATAGATTCAATTATGATATCGAAAAATAATTTTTCAGTGTTATATTTTTTACTTTTCATTTAATAAAAACATAACAAGTGTTAATTTTATTATACTTTATTGTTTTTTAATCAATATTTATAAATCATTCATATCAAAACTAACGACTGCAAATGAACTTTGCCACAGTACCATAGCCTTATCCACTGCTCCAAGGCAAAATTTAAGGAACAATTGCTACCCACTATCTTTCGCCTAATGCACATCACATTCATGTTGAAAAATCTTTGAATTTTATTGAGAATATTGGAACTCAAACAATTGAATGGAGTGAAGAGCAAACAAGAAGCACAAACTGTTGTCCGATTGACAACCTGGCTTGGCTTTGAATAGGAACGAGATGAAGAGAGGCAGCTCGCAAAAGGGCGAAAAGGGAGTCAGAAGAAAGCCAAAATATGCATGAACAATGTAGACATATAGCTCCATCTCATATCACTTATGGTTAGAGATGTGAATCCTACACATTAACATGAACCAAATATAACACGAACTCAAAAATAACAAGGCCATTTAAGATAAATGAGTTGGATTATTCTTACGTTTATTTAATTGGTCATTGTAAAAGAAATATATACCATTTTTTTTTTCATTTTTTGATGTAGTACCATATGAATGTCGATAATTTCTCATTAACACAAACAGAATATGAATATGATTATAACTTAAAATGACATGAATCATACATAACACGATTTGAACATTACACAACATGAATCGATTGGTGCCCCTACTTATGGGGACTTACACAAACAATGTTCGAATCCTCGTCAGTTTTTTCACATCATCAAGAACTTGCATGAATAATGTAATGAAGCAAGGTGAATTAAGCCAAGCTAACATAACATCTCTAGAGAGTAGACCCTTCTGGCATTACTAGCATACAAGAAATGTTACTTTGTTCTAGACAAGATATTTGAAGTACATATAGATATGGGACAAAAGAAATGTATTCCTACCAAGATTCTTTGTCAGTTTGATGTGATTTCTTAGAACTTAGCAGCAAAAAGAAAAGTGTTTGGCATATTCATGGTTCAGAAGCATCCATCGATCTCTCTTCTTCCTCTCCTTTAATGGTATTGAGCATTCGAGCAATTTGCTTCATGCCAGGCCTAGCCTCTGGTGAACGATCAACACATTTCACAGCTATTTGTAACAAGTTCACCATTCTCTCTTCACTTGCACCTTCTTGAATTAGGGCTTTGTCAAACACTTCCACAGTCCATTCTTCTCTAACCACAGAGACAACCCATCTAGCCAAATCCATCCCATTGTTCTGCACCATCTTCCCTGTAAGTAGCTCCAGAAGGATTACTCCGAAACCATAAATGTCTGCTTTGAAGCCACCGTCTTCTGTTTCTTCTTTAGCTTGAAAACCATTGACACTGAGGCTTTGATTGCCCACCACCATTAGACCATACTCACTGATGCAGGGCTCCATGTTTTTGTTTAGTAAGATGTTTGAGGATTTCAGGTTTCCATGAGCAATCCCATCGTTATGAAGCTGTTGGTGCATGAAAGCTAAGGCCTCGGCAATGGTTGCTGCAATACTAAGTCTGCTGCTCCAGTCAAAGGCCTTGCCCCTTTGGGTTCCTGAAATTTATACAACACCCTTATATTCATTCCTTCAGAATAACATAATGATTATATAATGATAAGGGTCTGTTGTGACTGCCTTCTTCTCAAAGTAATGGCTTGATGCCTTTTAAGGGCTCGTGTTCTTTTGAACTCTTCTTCTAAATTTTAGGTCTTTCTAATATTCCCCAGATATAGTTTAGAGTTTAAGTTAAATTTGAGTCATAATTAAGTTAAATTTTTCAGGGGTAAGATTGCATGGATCCAACCCAGTCCAGATCTCGCAATGATATAAGTCTCGTACAATAGTCTGGTATTAATCAAGCAGAAGTATGCTCACTAAATTTCTCTAGTCCTACAATCCCAAAAAGTATACACCTTTTTAACATGTATAAATGAAAACTTGGCTTCTACAGACTAAGAATGGAACTGGGAATAGAAGTTTCAAGTTACCATGGAGAAGCTTGGAGAGACTTCCATTCTTCTGATACTCATAGACCAAAAGCTTCTCTTGCCTGGAGCAATAAAATGCAATTGCTGGCAATACATTTGGATGCTTCACTTGATCTAGCCTCTGCATCCTCCGCATGAAATCATTGCCCGACATAATCCAACCCTGAATCCTCTTGACAGCCAGAGGCATGGCTTGATCCTCACATATGACCTTATACAAACTTCCATGCCTTCCTCTCCCAAGTAACTCTGCAGGGGCCTTAAACAAATTCTCAAATCTTAGTTCATTCACATCTGAACAAGGTAGAACTACCAGAGATGATGAAAACACCCCACTTTCACCCGAGACATCAGAGATTTCGGATTTGATCTCATCTAATTTATCATCTTTTGAATTGAAATTAGGCTTTTTGAAACCACCATCAACTGCTGCGACATTGTTAACTGCTTCAATCTTCTCTTCTTTTATTTTTTCTCTTTTGCGAAGCAGTCTGAGAATGATGAGAATGAGCAAAGCCAAACCTAGAAGAAAATAGCCTGAGAACATAAGAATTTGATTTCTCGAGATGCCACCATTCGATTTTTGTGTTCCTGGGGCTGAGGGCAATGCTGAGGCTGCGAGTGGTATTGGGCAATTTGGCAATGGGTCACCACACAATTCAGGATTGTTGATGTAGCTGCTCACAGGAAAACGTGCACCTCCCCGGGGAATAGGACCTTTGAAATGATTATAGGAGACATTAAATACCCCAAAATTGGCAAAATCAAAGTTGGGTATAGCACCAGAGAGCTGATTATTTTGAGCAAGAAACTCTGTCAAACCCGATAGTCTGGCCAAATCAGGCAAGCTTCCAGAAAAATTGTTGTTTGATATATAAAGTCTTTTCAGATTAATCAATCTGGGAAGAGAGTTCGGGAGGCTGCCAGAAAATTGGTTTCCCCTTATGTACAAGATTTCGAGTTGTCTGCAATTTTCAATCTCCTCCAGGTTCTCTCCTCGGATATTGTTATCATTGAGACTTACAACAGTGAGAGATGCAACAAGAGATTTCGCGGTGCAAAGAGTGGCAGCATCAAAAGTTCCGGAAAAATTCAAGCCATCAAGAAAGATTTTCTTCACTGAAAGAGCCCTTTTATCGCAGATTATACCCTTCCACTGATCCTTGCAAGGATCAGAGGTTAAATTCCAACCTGTAATGGAATCCAATGGCCCATTGTTATTCGACAATTTAGTGAAAAAACTCAGCAACGAGTGTTTAACCTCTTCTTCCTCAGACTTTGTCGAATGTAAGAGGAGAAACAACGATATGAGAAATACCCAGACTGGAATTTGATTCATTTTCGACGATACAAACATTATTGCAACAACAGTGTTTGAAGTTTGGTTCGTCTGAGGAAGTTAAAAGAATTGAAACTATGGTTAGAGATTGTGGGATGAGGAGGAAAACCCAATGTTCAGATGATAGTTTTTGTTTGATATAATGCCAATCGGAGGACATCACAATGTGAATTTGGATTTTATGCCTTTGATTGCCGCTGGTGAATCAAGAAAAACAAGCCATTTTGGATCAAACAAATAACAAACTGCTATAGTGCCGGCGACTAGAAACTGTGGTAACTGTATTGCCATGTCCTTTTCAACAGGATTATTAAAGCAACTTGAACTCCATCATGCCAGTACTGCTCTTTCTGGCTGACACAGTCCAGTTGAAAATTTCAAATTGGCCTCAGTGTCTGTTTGAACATTTCCATCTTGTTTTCGTTTTTTGTTATTGTTTTTTTCTTGATCGAGTACTACCCATCCCATCCCATCTCTTGATTCTTCCTTCTCTGTCTCTATCCTGCTGCAACTTTTCAAGCACCAAACAAAGTATTTCTACATTACAATGAATTCATTCTTTACCTCCAATGGCTTTGAAAGTTTCACAAGCTATATTATACCATGTGATATCGTGTGGCGACATGGAGGCGAAAAGAGGAAAGAGAAAACTAGAAAAAAAAACTTGACATCCGACAAACACACAGACTCAAAACCTGGAATCGGCAATAAGTGTTTTCAATGTTGACGATACCAGAAAAATATGTAGCTTAGACTAAAAGACAAGTCAGGTCAGCACATGCCAAGCAAGCGAGTGCTTGAGAGTCAGTGAGGCACCAACTATCCAGGTTGGCTATATGACAAAAGATATGATCAAAGAGGATTTTTCCCATCTAATCCTATCTAAGCAAGAAGTCACCATCTCTCAAAAGTCACGTCATTACTTCTAAAATATCACTTTACACCTGTGAATAAGAATCTCTTATAGTCAAATATTTCTCAAATATTTTCTGATAATTCTGTTACCATAATAATAGTTACCTATGTATAAAAGGCCAGTCTATTCACCGGCTAAGGGAGATCGAAAAAATATCCAATACGCGCACCAAGCACAATAGTGCACTCTACTGTACTCATTTTCTTCCTCAAGAAATACACCACCAAGGAACAACTACATTACAGTGGACTAACTCATCTCTTCAGTTGGGCGACCCCCTTAATTTTATGTGCATTCTTTACTTGCTTTAGCATACACTACACACCTCATCTAGGGTTCATTTTTGATGGGATCTAGAGTTCATTCAACTCACCCACCTCATGCTTCTCGGATTTCAACACCATCAAATGTCATTTTTAATGTTCAAAAGCATTTTATCGGAGCGGGACATTTGAAAAAGGCGGTCTATTACCCGCCATTTCGACTAATGTAGATGTAAAGAGGGTCAAGTGTACGCAATCTAACCCATAGGTGAAAAGGGAATCTCTGCTACAGCTGGAGACACTTAAAGAACCGGCCAAAAATGTCGGCCGATGCAAATGGGGATGTTTAAATCATTTCTGAAAACATAATGTCGGGCTGCAGAAACGTACCCTTTTATGCAAGTTATTAGTCTCGAGGACGACAGAGTATGCACCACCATATTCACCACCTTAGGAGCTGTATTTCGTCTGGCATTGTGTTTCAGGGAGGAAGAAAACCGAGTGCAGGAACAGGGAAGGGGTTGAGTCCGAGGAGAGGTGTGGGAGAAGATTCTTCACATAGAATCCACTTGTGTCTGAAGACATTCATTTAGGCCAAATTGAAATGTTGCCTGATTTAACATTTTGGCACATAGATTTTCAATGTATATAAATTCCGGATTTAAACATTTCGAGTAAGTTATTTACAAGAAACCACATTCTTTCGCACAGAGCTCGTCTACAAATCAAGTTATATCCAATGACATCATAGTACAATGTGACACATTGAAATGGCCTCCCCAAGCATATAGATAAAAAAGAGCATATAAACTTTGACATGCTTACGCTCGGAGAATAGTTCTAATAATATGCACCAGCATTAGCACAAAGGAACCAGAGAAGTCAAGGGAAGTGCAAACACCTTGAATTTTACACAAAATAAGGGACAAGTTTCTTGCACACAAAGATAGGCATTGTATCGTATCATCTGCTAGCCATATGTAGCAATCAATTAATTGTTCCATTTGTACAAGATTAATTCCTTGCACGCACAAGATTCTAAAATTTGTGATTCTCAGCAGCAAATGCTCTGCCAAACCAGTGTTCTACATTTTTCAACTAAGAACAGGCACAGCCCTGCTTTATTGAAAAAAACAATAGTGATCTCCTGAACATCACATTGTAATATCCATACCATTCATAACTTAAAGATGTTTCTCCTACACAAAAACATAACATTTCACTTCCCCCACTTTCCAAAGTATATCTTTGAGGTACAAAGGAGAGGACAGAGTAGATGCTTGGCTGTCACACTGCACCATCAGGAACCATCACAATTTATCCCCATAGTAATAAGCAGTGCCAACCATTAGTGCAACAGTAGCACCTTGGGCAACCACACGAGCTCTCATCAGCTTCTGACCCAAATGCGAATTCCCCGTTTTGAAACTAATTAGTCCAGCTGTGAGCACTCCTGCAGTCATGAATGCACCTACCAGACACAAAAAAAAAGAACGATATATATATATATATATATATATGATATGGAGAATAAATACAAACCTAATTCCAGTTAAACAATTTAATTACGCCATGTCAATGACAGAAGCAATCTCATAAATTAAGCTTCATCATGATAGGCATCTGGTACTAAAATAGTCACAAGGTCTTCTGTTGATTACAGATACAAATTCAAATACATAAATATGTTTGGACGGGAAAAAATAAATTAGAAGTGCCTCCCTTTGTTTTCCTCTCTCCCTTTCTAAATGCAACACAGCAATAAATTAAGAGAATGAAATGGTTTACCCCTCTTCTACATTACCAAAAAAGAAAAGGAAAAGAGGAGAGAAAGAAAGGGGGGCGGACTAAGCTCCATGGAAAGGGGAAAAATTAAAACCACCTGAAGAATCAATGGAAAATATCACAGGAAAAATCTAACAAATAAAACAAAAAAAAAATAGTTACATCCTACTCAAGTCCAAAAAATAAAGAACCCAACCAAAAAAAAAACCTAATTTCTGCAATGCGAACTCCACTTTTTTTTACTGTCCTTCCATTGCCCTCTTTCCAGATAGCCCACGAGCATAAAAGTTCTGCTGCTCACCCCTGTCTCACATTCATATAAAAATAGCCACTTACTACTAGCTCCTTATGATCTCAATCAGAGACAAAATTGAATTTCGTCCAGACTACATTATTACCGCTATCATCGCTGCCTTCACCACAACACAAAACAGATACCTCCTCTATACTTCCACCCAAGATCAACACACAGTACCAACTTCAATGCACCAATGCTCTATCAACCCTATCGACTACCACCATTGCCACACCACAACTGCACACACAATGCAACCATCAAAATTATATATGAACCATGTCCATCCATTATGTCCGAATCTGTGCCTCTTGTGTATTCTCCAATGACCTCCACTCTCACCACCACAATGACTCCAATTCTACCTACCCTGGTGCTATAATTGGTGAATTTTCAATTGAGTTACCATGTAATTCAGGATAATCAACAAACAACAGTATGTTCCATTCTACAAATTTCAAAATTCAGAGGAATTTCTTACATCAAACTTATCCCACACCCTCTCATCCATGATCCATGTGCATTTTAACATTCCAACCACTATGTAATGTCCCTAGGTTGCCTTTGAAAGTGGTGTTTTCATATGTATAGAAATGACAGAATATTTTGACAATAAAAATCTGAGAATAAAAAAAAAACAGATGAATTGGGGTTGCATGTGCAAAATGAGTATTTGAACAAAATTAGCTTTACTGTTAGGTGGGTAGAAAGCTCAAAGGCATCTTATTCTCAGCTTTCAAAGCTCAAACAGCCATGCTAAGGATATCACATGACTTGCAATGCAGTAAAAAGTAAAGGGCGTGTTTGATGGGATGAGAGGGAGGCTTTGTATTGGCAAGAATGAGAAAGAAGGTCTTTTGAAAATTTTAATGCCCAGTATGCCATACTTCGCAAAACATTATCCCTTGAATCTGTTCAGTGCATTCTTGTTTAGATCAGACGAATGGCAATGCTTTCAGTTTTGAGTGTATATGGATGGTGTCTCATTTTCTGGGCATCATTGATGTATCAAAATTACTGACAATACGCAGTTACATAGAAATTAGGACTCCTAAAGTAGTCGATTCTGCTAAATTTTCCGATGAGCTCTTCTCCAACAAATCCCAATCACCTCGTTGAACCAAAATGCTACTCCTTTTTTGAAACCAAGCAAAGTAATATCCCCATGAAATACTAGTATCCTTGAAGAAAACTTCTGTTCGGATAATTACAATGCTGAAATGTTCTAGTAACGAAAAGTACTCGCATAAAAGGACATGAAGAATCAACAAAATTGTAAATGTATCCTACATCTATACAAATCAAGTCAGGACATTCCCTTAACATTCTAATCAGAATCTACAAGACTGATGAACAAACGATATTTATGAATCCCGCACAAAGAATTAGGGATTGAAGAGTTGTGTACCAATGGGGACGAGAGGATTTCTGACGCGCTTCTTCTCCCCAAACAAATCTTCCAATTCGGATTCGGCGGTTCCCATCTTTTCCATATGTTTTCGAATCAACGCTCCGCCGAAATTCACCAATTTATCGCCGGAACAAGCAAGAACGTTTCTCTCTCTGTCTCCGCCTCGAGCTCGACACCTGTGGCCTTCTAACCGGTGACGCGATTATATATTTAGTCCCACACATATCTCTTCTGGAATTGCACTTATAACCCTTTATTTTAACGTAATTAATTTCTTAGCAGCATGCCATTTTTTTACTTTTTTTTTATTCCACAAAAAGAAAACCTTCTTTTTTTATTTTAAGGTAA